CCAGAGCTCAAGAAAGGTAGAAAAAAATAAATAGGGCCTTAAGACAGGGCTGGGAAAACTCTGCCAAGAGGCAGGACCGGCCTGGTCCAAGCTTTGCCCCTTGTGGCCCTCTGGGCACGGTGCACTCTTTGCAAGGGTGCAGGCTGTGCCCCTTAGGAGATCCTGTGTGCCAGGCCTCCTCCCACCCAGCAAGGACTGAGGGTAACAGGAGAACCCTCCCCAGAGACAGCTGACTGAGTTGCGAAAGATCTGCCAAATGATGGCGTCTGGGACATTAGAGAGAATCCCCATTACCATATCACCCCCTTGCACCCCTTTTCTCCCAGGGATTCAGTTTGGGTGAAGGACTGGTGTCAGGAGAGGCTCAAGCCCAGGTGTGGGGGGGACACCAACAGTCATTCTGACCACCCCTACGGCAGCTCTGGGGATTCCCCTGAGAGCTACCACAGTAAGTGAAAGCAACCCGGGAAGAGAGATCTTCCAGGGACCCACACAGCAAGACCAGGGGCCAAAGAGCGAACACCAGCCTCCCAGCTCAAAAGGATCCTCTTCTTCCTCTTCCTCTTCTTCTTCTTCCTCCTCTTCCTCCTTCTCCTCCTCCCCCTCCTAATTAAAACAATGTCCACTAAGACCCCAGATGAAACAGAGGAAATCCCCAAGAGGATGCACAGGTGCCCATCCAACCCTGGAAGAGGTCGGATCCCAGAAAGGTATGGGGAGGACGCTTCTGAGCCTTCGGGGTTTCAAGATGTTAATGGGAGGGTTTATCAGCATAATTGGGGCCTACTGGTTGGTCCTTGCCTGCTGCCCTTGATAATGGGAACCCTTAACGCTGTGATACAGAGCAGCGTGAATTGAAGAATGACTTTTGGGGTCCTATCGGCCAGAGGGCATCAGTCAGTAGAATACTGCATAGCATCAGACCCTGGGCCATTTATCAGATGGTAGGAGTCGATATGAGGCTCTTCATGCAGAACTGCAAATGGGAAACTGATGGCGGAGCGCGCGCGCACGCGTGCGCACACACACACACACACACACACACACACACACACACACACACAGCATTTCCCTTACGGAGCACCCATGACTGCTTTTGCAAATAGCCATAACGGCCCTGAAAAGGCCCTCCAGAGGTTCCTGGTCTGCTGCGGCTGCTTTGCTTCTGTAACCTCCCCTGACGCTACCCACCAGTGAAAGGCTGCCCTGTAGGGAAGAAATGGCATAAAAGTGACATCGAAGCCCTGTTTGGGGCTCTCGGTAGGACCCAAGTCCCTTGCAGTACTGCCGGAAATAAAAGCCCAATTTGTCCTACTCTGCATCTGAGGGCTTGGTGTGGAAATCTCGCCTTTTTCCTGCTTCATGTAGGACTAAGGAAGCTGAAACCAACCTGTTTGGGTTCAAATCTTGCTTCTGCCACTTCCTAGCTGAGTAAACTTGGTCAAACAGTTTAACCTCTACGTGCCTCAATGTCCTCATCTTTAGGATGGCGCTAACTGCCAAGCATGACAGTGCATGGCTGTGATCCTGTCACTTGGGAGGCTGAGACAGGAGGATCACCATGAGCTCGAGGACAGCCTAGGATTCATAGAGAGTGGTTTTTTTTTTTTTTTTTG